TAAAAATGTATTAAAATTTAATATAGGTTCAATATTAAAAACTAAATAAATAAATACAGTATTAGAAACAAATTGAAAATATATGTACATAATATTTTGTTGTTCTTTTTGCAACATGTATTCAAATTCAACAACGTTAATTATTTATAAGTAAAATATAAGTGCTTCAAATAGATAAAAGATACGAATATTTTTGGATTTATAAATACTGATTTTTTTTGTTACTGTATTTAAACTTGTACTATCTAACTTACAATTAGTAATATCTTACTTATTTTGTTAGTATATAGTGGGAAATATATATCGGAGCATTATAAAGATCATATGCAATTTTCTTTTATTTGATTCTTAACGTATTTTATATAATAACAAACTAGGTGGCGTTTTGCCTTAAAGCAAGTTACAGGAGTATACCGAGTCGCTGTAGGAGTGTAGTGCAAATTATGATGTTAGCAACTATTGCAAATTTTTATTTGTATATAAATTTGCTAAAATGCTTGTTATTTTCGGCAAATAGTTCAAATATTATGCATAATTAAATAAAAAAACAAACACGCACTAAATACATTCACGATGAATGTCCTAAGAGCTCGGTTTTATAATTAAATCACACTTTTTGTGGATTTATATAATTTTAGAATGTACGTTTGAACTATCAACTCTATTCATGCAAAGTTTCATCAAATTTGTCAAAAAACAGTTTTTCAAGAAATAATTCGTAATTACCACATGCTAATCAGCACGATTCCCAACAGATATCCATGAAACAGTTTTGAAAGATTCAAAATCGGTTAACGACCTTTAGAAAAACGCGGACAAAATATTTTGCATTTTTCCACTCATTGTAAAGAAATTTTTTGAATCGCAAAAATAATTAACGCCATACCGCATCCAACTGCATAAAATGACTCTAAATTTTAGAAACTTATGCAGCCGTTTCGACTGTTAAATTCTGCCTCACAAACACGCGTACCTACGTTTTCCAATTTTGTTATCAAAATGATTAAAAATAACTTGAAACGTCAAAAACATAAATTTAGCAGATCGGAATTTCGGGAAACCAAAGTTCACCTTCGGGAAATTAATAAAGTTAGGTTAAAAAGAGCAAGAAGTGCAATTCAAGCGCCATTCGTGTCATATGCGAATCAGTGTTATAAAATAATATAAATATATGAACGATATATTTATAGCCTTCATAAAAAAAGCAAGAGCAACAAGATCGCCTAAAACCATATGGTCTGCGATGGTATACAAGCAGATCATTTCATATCGGAACAGTTTAGCCTGCATGCACTTTGCCGCCGTTTATTTGTTCTAAATGTACGCACGAATTACAACCGAATACATTTGATTATTCAGACGACGACGTAAATACAAAGTTGCGGATTGACGAACCTTTACTGGGTGAGCACGCTTCAAACTATATTTGTTATGAACACGAGTCAAATATTGGATCTTTTGAACGTGATCAAGATATAATAATATTTATGACTATAATGGAATTCTGTGAAGAAACATTACTAGCTGAAAATGGTTCAAGATTCTAATATTTTAAAAAAAGTAATAATGTTCACTAATTTCAAAATTTTTACTATATGTGTATATATATACAAACCTTTGATTAAATTGCGCGCTATCTATAAGTCAATTTTAAGAGCTAAAACTTTAAGAGAATCGTTTGTTATCAATTTGGAATCTTTTGAGCCCTTGGGAGCCAGGAAATTCGAAAATGTCCATATTAAGGACCACCATAATATATATAACATGTTCAGGGGCAATTGGGCCATCGTGTCTGACCAAGTAAAATTTGCAAATAATATTCAAGCAAATCAAATGTTTAGTTCATTTTATTCATATTATTTGAAGAGCATTCAGAACATATAGAGTTCTATAAGCTGTTGTGATGTCTTCATTTTTACTTTGTAATTCGGGTTTTTTATAGATGGCAATCCAAACAGTTGTCTCATCTCTATGTGATGAATTTTTATTATTAACTTTTCTATAACTATAATTGATACAGCAATGCCGAATAAAAGCTTTTTTCACTTAGAAACATAAGTAAAATATATGATTGAACAAAATTTATAAACAAGATTAAATAAATTGGAATTCAATATAGAATCAATAACTTATTTGTTTACTTATAAATAGAATCAATGGCCATCATAAATTTGCTATGTTTTATATAATAATTTATGAATACCTTAGATATTTTATAATGAAATAATAATATAATTTATATATATATACGAGGTCTGTTCAAAAAGTACCCGGAATTTTCGTTTTTTCAAAAAAATATTTATTTATTCGTCTACATTAATGTGGTCCCCTTCAAAGTAGTCCCCCCCAGATATAATACACTTATGCCAGCGTTTTTTCCAATTTTCGAAGCACCCTTGATATTCACTTTTTGATATGTCCTTGAGCACTCTCAGCGATTTTCTTCAATCGAGGAAAACCGCCGTCCTTTCATGGGTCTCTTCAACTTTGGGAATAGGAAAAAGTCACACGGAGCCATATCTGGTGAATTTTTGCACTTTGCAACACTTTATTCCATTTTTTACGCAAAATTTAATACAAATTCTTTGACTTTTCAATTCTTCCATTGTAAAAATCGCCGAGCTCAGAAAAACACGTCGAACCTTAGCGACTACCACAGACAAAGTAAACAGTGAATATAGCTGAAAATTTCATCATACTTTAGGGGCATGTATACCAACACAATAAAAAAAAAATTTTGACAATCAGACACTCCAGACCCGCGAAATTTAATTATTAGTAATTCCGGGTACTTTTTGAACACACCTCGTATATATATATATATATATATATATATATATATATATATATATATATGATTTTTGTCGACGTTGATAAATATATAAATATATATATATATATATATATATATATATATGTGTGTGTGTGTGTGTGTGTGTGTACATACATGCATATAAATATATCGAGCAAGTCAAAAGTCTTAAGATAAATTCAGAACGCCAACTATAAGTATTATTGTGCACGTGCTATCTAATATAAACAATAATACCTAAAACTGCAAACATTACATTAGCACCATTAATACTATAAATACACGCCCAAGCAATCGATTTCGTCTATAAAACCACGTGCAAATTAATATATTGCAAAATAGGTATTACACCTCCTAATGAAACTGAGAAATGACGGCGCCCTAGGCTGGCTCACCCGGTGAATGCAATTACCATAAAACTAATAAAATTAAGGTATGTGATTATTATGAAATATGTATGTACAAAATTCAATAACGTTTAGTGCTTTTTACTATAGCTCGCTTTATCAATAGAGTGCTTTTGCAAGAAATCAGTTATTCTCTATTTTAATATTTGCGCGACAGGGAGTGTCCAAGAATAATTTACTGATGAGCATTGAAGAAAGTTTCTCGCTTTCTTTTGCTTGAAACAATTAATATTTCATAGAAATAAATGATGCCGTAAATTTTAATTCAAGTTTTAGTAGGCCATATTCTTTTTCACACACTTATCAAATAACTAAATAACATATTTCTCTCAATGATTTTCTTAGAAATCTGATTGCCATCATGCTTTTATCGTATTTTTTTGCGATTACTAAAACTTGCCCTACGGGAAGTTAATATAATATTGCAAAAACATTCTTAATTAATAATACAACTGACAAATGTTTCAGTATCAATTACAAAATTTAAAAAATTATGTTGCATCTTTAGTATAGGTATATAGTCAATTTGTTCCAATAAAGTGTTTGAAGTGGAATTCAATTGAGATAAAAGATAAATTTTATTGCACTCACGAATGTAGAACATATACCAGAACAACAGATCCAGTTGCAAAACGTAAATGATTTCAAGTAGATACTTCACTTGGAAATTTATATATTACATAAAAAAAAGATTCAACCAAATTAGTTCAATGATGAAATGTGTTTGAAGACATAAGGTTGCAAAATAGTAATGTATTATTAACTCAAAAAAGTAAATAATAATTGTATGTATCAAGAACATATAAATTCCTCACAATAATGATAAGAGTTTTATCATATAATTTCTGCTTGATACAGTTAGAACATTTCTCATAATCCAAAAAGCCAAAACTAATTTAATTTAAATAATATAAATTTTAAAGCACTTTTTTTAAAACGAAATAACAGAAAATACTGTTAAAATAATGATAGATATCTAAACTATGTTTTGAGTTTAGATCAGTAATTAGCAAAGTGGTCTATATAAACCCCGTGAATCCATGACAATCTTCATGGTCTACAAGTCAGGGAAAAAAAATTTCAGGTTTACGAAATAAAAATGAGGGTCCATGGTAGTTGAACATAGTACACCATGTTAATATCTATTTACTTATATTAATATATCTATGATAAAGAAAGTCATATAGTTATAAATTAGCCCGAAAATGAAAAAAATGGTACGACAATCGATTTATAGTTGCAATAGATTTTAACTTGTGAATACTTTATATGTTGGCTGTTGAAAAGATTATGCTTGGCAAGATTTTTTCCATGTTTTGAGCAATAGTATTTCTAAAATCTAAAGAAAAAAGTTTAAAAAAAAAGAATTGGCAATTGTAAAACAGACATCGTAACACCCGGTAGAACAAAGTTTTAGTGTTATTACCCGTCTCCAAAAAAAAGACTGGTCATCATTAGCCGTGAGATGTAATGTTGAGCCCTACAAAATAGTCGCCAAATCCTGATAACTAAACATTCACCTATCGCTTAATTTATTTATTAATAAAGATAATCCTTATCTTTAGCACAATTAGAGATCTAAAAAAATCGATATCGTGTAAATATCGCATCAACGGTAAAGCCCAATTTGTATAGGGTTTACGACCTATGGTTTAGAGACCAAAAATACAGGAACGAAAAACTCGAATTCTCTGACAATTTTCCATGTGGGCATAGCGTATAGTAAAATAATATAAATAACACAGTCGATCAATAATGATAAATGTAAAAATATAACTGACCTTTACAACCGTCTTCGCTGAATCCGTAATGTAAATCAACACATGTGTCGCATCTGAGTCCGCCAACGCCTGGTTTGCAGTCGCATGCTCCTGTTTGCGGATCACAGGTGCCATTCACCGATCCTACTAAATCGCAAGAGCAAGGTGGGCAGTCATTTGATATATCGCCATAGCCAATCTGCCAAAGTAAACAATTAATTTATTATAATATCAGGGCGAGTGCATTTGCTTTAAACACATTCATCACGAACTCAACAATTATATAAATCAAACTGTGATCGATTTGAAATGAAAATTATTGGCAAAGGTATTACGCCTAACCATGTATATCTAATAGATATTAGGTCAAGTAAAAAGTTCGTTTCGTTTATTTAGTGAAATTCAACAAGTTTTTTTATAGGGTAAAAATAATTTTATTCAAACTAAGGGACCGATTCTGCCGCATGACAGAAAAATGTTATGGCAAGGCCACGTTACGCTCCGACTTCCATACATTATGCTACTGAATCATACTCAATACTGTCAAAATGTCATCTATTTGCTATGCATTCAGACAATTTACACATGAACTACAACGTGAGTCGTATGTTATAGAGCTGTATCAGAAACACACTGTTATCTAAGATCGTTGTTTTGACATTTGTGCGATTTCTAGGTTAGGTTTTCTATATGACAACCTGAGAAATACGCCTGACTGCAGACCAAACGCATGCCTTTTGTCAATATTACATAACATGGACTTGCCTTAACATTTTTCTGTTATGCGGCAGAATCAGTCCCTGAATATGCTTCATTAATATCGACCAATTTTCGAATGGAGCCATGATGCCACCGGTACTACTAAAACTATACTACTAAACTACTTCTGTGGTTTCTGGTTGAAAAACTGAATCAAGTGCTCTTTGCTAACTTCTTTTGAAATTAGTTTAATTCCATTAACACAGTTTTGCAGAGATCGGAACAAATGTTAGTCAGTATGTCTGGAGTATATGATAGATGCATTAATTTTTCTCAACTAAGCTTTTGCAACGTTTGGGAGGCTATCAAATAAGTGTACGACCGGGCTTTGTCACGATGGAAGACAGTATCTTCAATTGAGGCCGTTTTCTTTGAATTGTTTGGCGTAATCTCTTTATTGATTTACAGTAGGATTGATAATTAATGGTCTGACCAACTGAAAGTAGCTCACGATTGACGATTGCCTTCCAGTCCCACCACAAACACAGCATCACCATTCTCAGTGTCATTCCTGACTTGTAAAAGTTAGTCTTCGCTCGCCATCACTAAACTATGTTTTATTTCGCCTCCGATTATCGTATATAATCTACTTTTTCTTACCAATTATGACATTTTTCAGAAATTGTTCAATTCCATTGCATTTCAGCAGCGTATCGCCGACGTTGATTTGGTCTATCGAGATCTTCGCGCCCAACTCATGAAAATCCCACACATCGAGCTACCTGTTGTACTTCATGTAATTGGTTCAAAACAGTTTTGTGATCAATGGCTTATTCCCTTCTAATGTTGACAGAGCTGACTTACTTATCTTACTCTGCTTTTTTGAAAACTTTATCAACTTCTTCAATTGTTCGACAAGCGGAGCGTAACACATCTTACACATCAAAATTACCAGAACGAGAGCGAGCGAACCATTTTCGAGCAGCAGATTTTGATAAAGTATCTTCACCTTATACAGCATAATTTTTTTCCACAAGCCTGCGCCGCTGCGTTCTTCCCTCAGTCATAATAATATAGCAAAATATAGCAATTTTTTCATTAGTTTTCTCCATTTTAAAACACAATTTTTCAATCACTTGACTAATTTGTTTGACTATAGCGTCAAAATAATGCTCAAAGTGTCACCTTTCTAACGAGGGTTCACCGGTGCCGCTGCGATCTGCACTTCCTGAATAATAATTTGTAACTAAAGCCGTCTATCGCGAAAAACGAAACGAACTTTTTACTTTATCCAAAATATGAAACATTTATTTGAAAAAAAAAGTTTCTTTTTATATGCGTAATGAAAAATGAGTACCTACTGAAAACACAAATCCTAGTAATTATCCATTTGAATAACTAAATTAGAAAATAAAAATTGTAACTATTATTATAAATTGTACTACCGTAATGAATACAAAAATACGTACTTTCTCAAAAATCATATTCCTATATCGAACGTTTTGGCTTTTAGGAACAGATCAATCAATACTACGGAATGTTACTCTTTGTATTTCCTTATTGCATATTCCAATCATGATATTTTATGAAAAACGCAAAAAAATCTCTCATCAAAACATATAATAACATCGCAGTAAAATATTGCAGTGTTTTCAAAGAAATACATGTATACATGCGTGCATGGGTCGATTTTTCAGATGATATAAAATATATTGCATCCTTTCTGATTGAATCTGAAAACTCTACAAATACACATCATTGATTGTTGATAGTACGATTTTAAATCGAGCATTATAAATCCATTAACAAATCAATAATTAACCAGTTAGTAAGCCAAACTGAAATAATAATAATATTTATATCTATCGCTAAATGGCGGTAAAAAGCTGCTCTGACTCAGGCTGATTCACGATTTACAAAAAGCCAGAGTGTACTATGGGACTTCGATTTCATTTATATAATGTAATTATCAAGTAAAATAATATAAAAATAAATAGTTAACAGTATGTATACCTATTATTTGGAAATAATATAAAAACATTTTTAAAAAAGTAATTTTTTTAACACAGTTTAATGTCATTCGGTAATATTTGGGGTGGTCCACTCTAGTTACCAGTTTCTCAATTATATATTTTTGGTGAAACATTTAACTCTCTACTCGCTTTTCTATTTCAGCTATCTCTATATAATTTTTTTTTACTATTATTTCCTTATATCTTCACGTTATTTTAATGTCTTTTATAATACCAAAATTATGTTCTATATGTTTAATTTTCTTAAAAAAGTCTCGACAAGCTTAATATTTCATTTATTATTTATTTTAACGTTTTTATTCATTTCCTACAAATTATTCTAATCTTTTCCTAAAATTCTTAAAAATGTAGTTGAATAGATTTTATGTCGTTCAGGTGTAACAATGTAAAACAAAATAAAACACATACTATTTTTTTGGTAAGTAAGTATTTACAGTATAGTTTAAAAGCATTTTGAACTATTTATAGTTGTATTCATATTATATCTAGTTGAAGATATGTTTTACATAAAAATATAACAATAACGTACCATAAATAATATAAACTCACCTGACACGTATCGCAATCTCTACCAGTAAATCGCTCATTGCAATCACATTGACCAGTCATTGTGTTGCAGATAATCTCATCTTGTTCAGTATTAGCTAAAACGGTGCCTGAAATTGTGAAAAATTGTATATCAATTATTAATATCAAATTTCCTGAATCATTTTATTAAATCTTAAAATATTCATCATATTACTATTTATTAATAACGACTAAACGCAATGAATTAGATTAATTCACAATTTCCAAACAAGACACATTTAAAAACTGTAGCTATTGTTGTTCGCATAGTATTTTATCTTAACAAATATTAATAATATTTTATATAAAATGCATAAGAATTAAATACTTTATAAATATTTATAAATATTAGAAAAAATTTGAAAAAAATGAATGATATTGAATATAAGCAGTATTTAAAAAAAAATTAAAATTGAAATATTTTAAAGTTGTATATCCTTTCACAACTTTGAAAAATAGTTTAATTTAACCCCTTAACTTAAAATGACGAGCAGAGCCCGCGTGCGATTGCGAGGGTACGATATTCGGGCCAAAAGCAAATATTACGCATTTCGGGCATGGCCCGGTATGGTGAACGCAAGTATTATAAAATATTTATTCATACTAAACTATAAAACACAAAATTATTTTTATTTTTGTGATAAACCGTACACTATAAGGGAAAATAGTCACATCGCCGCGCCAGCTTGAACAACTTTGGCCCGGCATTTTCGAATCTAAATCGTAATTTAAGGGGTTAAAAAATTGGCGATTTAGATTTTTGTGAAAAAGCCTTTCACAGTTCGAAACTATATGACTGATTGTTTATTTGATAATTCAAGAAATCAGAATTTCTCGGCGATGTGATATGTTTCCAAGTGAAAATAGCCCTTAATCCGGCATTGCTGCAATACCTCAATTAGAATGACAACTGCGGGGTTGTCTTCTAATAGCGTTCAGTATACAAAATAAAAACTATATCTCATTGTCAGATAAAGTAAGGACAATCGATGGATTGCCTACTAACAACAACAAGGTCTTATAATTAGTAATAAGCAGTGTTCAGTGTAGCTTATAGAACACATAATAGTTCTGATTGCTGTAACAACTACGTGTATAAAAAAAGTTTATCGTGATGATAATTTTATGAACTTTTTTATGGGCCAATTCTATGTTACGCTGCTTTTTCTATATACAATGGTAGTAAAAACTCTCAAAATGCTATATATTTGCTATGGGATCAGACGTTATAGACATAAAATCTAAATTCTCGCATGTGTTATTATGACACATCAGAAAGATGCAGTTATGGTAACATTTGTGCGTTTTCTAGGTTAGGTTTTCAATCTAAAACGCCTGACTGCACAGCAAATACATAGCATTTTAATAGTTTTTAGTACCATTTTTTATGTAAAAAGCAGCTAACAGCGTTGCCATAACATTGGTTTGTTTTACCGCAGAATATTGCCCCATTTTCTTTTATTTTGCATTTTATAGTATAGAATCCTAGCTTAAATATATATATATATAGCCAAATTTGTAACAAGACTAAAATAAATGAATAACTATTACCATTTTCATAGCAGTTGCAAGGAATACAAGTGATATTCAAGTTTGGATCGCCAAATGATCCTGGCTCGCATCGTTCGCAATGACGCCCTGTTGTTCCGGCACCGCAGTCCAAGCAATCGCCAGTGATTGGGTCGCATGGACTATCCAGGCCACAGTCGCATGGCTCACATGTAGAGCCGAGCAACAAAGGCGAACCATAGTAACCATCATCGCAGCTGCAAGAATAATATTAACATTAGGATGTTTATCTATTTTGTCACGAATATAATGATTTATCATTTATTATCTTTTTTATCTAACATGCATCGCATATATCACGAATATACTGTATAAAATGGAATTATATATTTGTTTCCAAACAGAGTGTGCAAAATGAGTGTTGTAGACAAATGAGCATTAATCTATTGTGATTTATAAAGCAATGAAAAGCATAATTATTATTATGCATTTGTGTTTAAATTACATAATTTTTGCACAGATATCTGCATGAAGAAATTTCCAAAAAAAACATCGCTCGTAATTCTACTAACTAGTGTTGCTAAGGCCTAAATAATGATTTTCCTCAATAACTATTGTTGTAACATATCAATGTAAGTATTATTTGACTATTAGACAATTTTATTAACTTCCCTTTGCCTAAGTCGCAAAAAACGAAAATGTAAATTTCTATTGTAAACGTTTTGGCATGCGCGCGATACAATTATTAGAACACGATATCGGGCACACAAATTATCCATTTTAAATGATTCAAAAAACATTAGAATCGTATTGATGGGGAGACATGCTGATTACTTTTGGCAAAGGCAGGTCCAGCCGTTTCAAAGATAAAGGGGAAAAATGTGGCAAAGACGGAAAATCAGTTTTTAAAAGAACAGAGCGTTCAATTTGAAATATTAAAAAAAAAATATTTGTATTGACAAAGAACTGATTAAATTTTTGGGAAGGCAGATCCAGCGGTGTCGAAGATCCAATGAAAAAAGTAAATTTGGCGGTCAAAATTGATCATTGAACATATCAAATCACAACAAATTATCAGATATTTTACAGAGATTTTAACACTTTGGGGACGGCTGTCCACCTCAGTGGACAAACATACTCTGTGAGGCACAGGCTATTTTATAAACAATGACTAAGTTTGCATCGAAAAGTTGAATAAATTACATATAGCAGTGATAAACAGTATTGTATTTTGAAAATAATTTTAAGTTATTTTAGTAGTATTTTTAGCCTTTTTCTTTGCCATATGGTCTTTTTTTTAATGTTTAAAACGACCGAACGCTTTTAAATATGGCAAAACAACTGGTAAATTTTGTGAATTAAGCAGTAGTGAAGATGAGTTTCAAATAGACATTCATACAGGCAAATTTCACGAAATTACTATTCGCACCGATGATAGTGATAAATGTGATGCTGATATTATCCAACCAACAAAAAGAAGAAGAAGTTCGACAAAATAAATGAAGAGCGGGAAGACATTAGCGAATGTGCCGATTCTCCTTCAATAATCGAGTTTGACATATCAAGCAATATAAGACATCCAATAGATTATTTTACTTTATATTTTATAAATGAATTATTAGACAATATAATAGAAAAAATAAACTATTATGGCTGCAAAAAAATGACCAAATATACTGACTAATCAGTGGCATATTCTAAATGCGAGTGAAAGAAAAAGGTATTGTATTGTCTGTTCTGACAGAAAAGCACCAGAAGGGAGGCGGCGAACAACATTTTATTGTAAAACATGTCAACCAGCTATGCATTTTGGAAATTGTTTTGAACGTCACCATTCTTTATAAAATGATCAAAAATAAATTAATATTATAAATGTATGTCCTTCAATGACCACAAATTTTTATCAAACAAATTGCATAACATACACAATGAAATCAATTTTACAGCCGGTAAAGTAGATTGTTTTGAAATTGGTGCCGTCCCGAAAGTGTTAATATGAACAAATTTTGTTTATATTTCTGTGGGTTCCGTGCAATTTTTATCTGTTAGACTACGATGCGGTGCTTTGCGCTTCAATATTTCATCTCTAAAACAGCCACACAGCGCGATCGCTTTGAAAAAAAAAACTTCAAAATTTTTAAAAAAAATCTAGATTTAAAAAAATCGAAGTTTTCCAATGTTTCGCAATTGTAATTATGATTCATAAAATATATTACGTTATCATTTTATGTGACATTTGTACTTCAGAAAGATGTACGGAACAAAAAATGTAATTTTTACCTATTTCCTTTAACTAAATATTAAAAATTAAAAACTTATCTAGATTTTACTAACAATAGCAATGAATTGCATAGAAACTGAATTAATCAAAAAACTAGTGGGGCGCATGGCATCGTGCCTTAAGGCAAATTGCTGGAACTTCCCGTACCAAAAATTATTAATTTTTATAAATATTAACATTTTTGAAAAAAAATTACTCTGAAAAATTAGATTTTTGAGAAGCTATGAATTTTTGACAAAAATTTACTTTTTTTTGAAAAAAAAAACTTTTTAAAGAAAAGTGTATTTTGAAATATTTTGAAACTTTTTTTCAAAGCAATCGTACTGCTTTCTGCATAGAGACGAAATATCGAAGCGAGTAAGCGCCGCGCCGCCATCTAACGGATAAGCATTGATACGGAACCCATAGAAATGTAAACAAAATGTATACTTATTGTTAAAATCTCTATAAAATATCTGATAATTTGATGTGCATATGTCTAATGATCATTTTTGACCGCCAGATGGCATTTTTTTTTCACTTCTTTTATTAGATTTCCGAAACCGCTAGACCTGCCTTATCAATTCTTCATCTTGTCAAGACAAGTAAAATGTTTTTTGAATTATTAAAATCGGACGCTCCGTTCTCTTAAAAACTAAGTTACCGCTTTTGGCACTTTTTGCCCCATATCTTCGAAACGGCTAGACCTGCCTTCGCTAAAAACTAATCAGCACGTCTCCTTACGAATACGAATCGAATGTTTTTTGAATTATCCAAATCGCTTCATCCGTGTTCCCGAAATCGTCGACGACAATTTGTATCCGCACATATATACACACATGGACACACATGCACACACACACACACATATACATTCATTTTTTCTAAGGTATGCCAAAGTATTCAGAAACCTCTGAAACGTAAAGATATATAAAAAAAATCATTTTCGATTTTTTTGCGATTACTATAACTTACCCTACGGGAAGTTAAAAATCAAGATTAAAAAAAAATCGAAGTTTTCCAATGTTTCGCAATTGTAATTATGATTTATAAAATATATTAATGTATCATTTTATGTGATAATTGAAATTCAGAAAGATGTACAAAACGAAGTATGTAATTTTTACCTATTTCCTTTAACTTAATATTAAAGTTTTTATCGAGATTTTAATAACAATAACAATGAACTGCATAAGAACTGAATTATCATTAATTTGAAATCGAATGTTATTCTAAAATAAATCTGAAATGTTTAAAAACTCGTTAAGTCATCTATGGTTGTTTTAAAAGGTCTAGATCGAAACTAAACTTACATTTCACAGTGATCTCCAATGTACCCTTCTGGACATTGTGTGCAGACATAGCCGCCGGCACCGTCCAGCTGGCAACTCGGGCTGAAATTGTTCAGCGGGTCATGTAACGGGCAGGCGCATTTCTTGCAATCATCGGCAGTTCCATTAAGTGGGTTTCCATAATATCCAGGCGCGCATCTTTCACATTTTTCGCCTGTAGTGTTGTGATCGCATTGACCGCAGCCACCAGTGTCAAGATCACAAGTCCGAGAATGATTGTTGCAATCGCATCGCTCGCATTGGCGACCCGATAGGACGTGGCCATATGCGCATTCTTCGCAGCTCAACCCAGCATATCCTGGTGCACAGTCGCAGTGTTCGATCAGACCAACACTATTTGTCTATAATAAATAGATCAATACAAAAAATAGATTACTTAAAAGTGAATATTCAGTTCAGCATTTTCAACTACTAAACTAACATCGTGCCTTAAGGCAAATTGCTGGAACTTCCCTGCAAGTGTAATAATTAACTTAATCAAAAATTAAAATATTTATTTATTTCAAAAAGCTTAAAATTGTTTGAAGACTGAAAATATTTTTGAGAATTTTAACTTTTTTTTAAAGCAATCGCGCTGCGTTAGCTGCGTAGAGACGAGGTAAATATTGATTCGGAACCTATAAAAATGTAAGCAAAATTTGTACTTGGTGTTAAAATCTTTATAAAATATCTGATAATTTAATGTGCATATGTCTTATGATCTTTTTTGTCCGCCAAATGACATTTCTTAACTTCCCGTAGGATAAGTTATAGTAATCGCAAAAAAATCGAAAATGAAAATTTTTGCACTTCTCGACGTTTCAAAAGTTTCTGAATATTTTGGCATACCTTAGCAAAAATGGATGTGTGTGTGTGTGTGTGCGGATACAAATTTTCGTCGACGATTTCGAGAACACCGATCAACCGATTTAAATAATTTATAAAACATTCGATTCGTACTGATAAGGAGACGTGCTGATCAATTTTTCGTGGAGGCAGGTCTAGCCATTTTGAAGATACGGGGCACAAAGTGCCAAAAACGGTAATACGGTTTTTAAGAGAACGGAGCGTCCGATTTTGAAAATTCGGGAAACATTTTACTTGTATTGACAAGATGAAGAATTGATCAAATTTTCATGAAGGCAGGTCTAGCTGTTTCGGAGATCTATTGAAAAAAGTAAAACAAAAAGCCATTTGGCGGTCAAAAATGATCATTACACATATGCACATCAAATTATCAGATATTTTATAGAGATTTTAACAATAAGTATGAATTTTGTTTACATTCCTATAGGTTTCGTACCAATGTTTACCCGTTAGACGGCGACGCGGCGCTTACGCGCTTTGACATTACATCTCTATGCAGTTAAAGCAGTACGATTGCTTTGAAAAAAAATTCAGAATTTCCAAACTATGCCAAAATAAAGAAAATTTTTTTTACAAACAATTTTTTTTTTGTTTCTCAAAAATCTAATTTTTTCGAAATAATTTTTTTTCAAAAGTGTTAATCGCTTTTAAAAAAATAATAACATTTGGTACGGAAAGTTCCAGCAATTTGCCTTAAGACAGAATTCTACTTACAACTAGTTTACTTTTTTATTGGATCTCCAAAACCCCTGTTTAGCCAAAAATTTAATCAGTTCTTCATTTCGTTAATACAAATAAAATGTTTTTTGAAACATTCAAATCGGACGCTTCGGTATCTCAAACACAAGCACTTTTTGCCCCGTATGTTCGAAACGGGTGAACCTAGCTTTGCCAAAAACTAATCAGCACGTATTTAGATGTAACTTTTTTTTCTCTTGAATATATATGAACCGATGTCTATACCCTTATAACATACTATTTATTAAATTTGTTTAGAAAAAATATTCCATTAATATTTGATGATAATATTTTCATCAATATTCGATAATGATAACAACGTTGTGTATTTGTTTTTTGCTTCGCGCTCGGAAATCTGCCGACTGATTAATTCCCGTACTGAGGATAATAAACAATTTATGTAGAAGATACATATATAAAACTATATTGAACAGAGTGTATGTTTTTTCTTCCGAACTGGAAATCCATATATAAGGCAATATTTTTTCTTAACATAAGAATTTATTTTCGTCTATTTTGGAACTAGATAATATTCATCTTGCGAGAAGCGGTGAATTTAATTCATAAAAACGAAATTCATAAATGTATTTAACCAGTTAACTGTGTTTGACAAATACACTGGACGTGAAGAAGTGGCAGAAATTTGTGTATTGACGATTATGCACGTCTTGCAGATAAATCTTTGACTATTGGCCATTTAGAAATTATATCGCAAAATATTTTCAAGATGACAAGATGGGATGATTTCTTTGTATTGCTGTATGATTCTTGTAGCATCATACAAGCAGAAATGAGCACACTAGTCTAATGTTCCAAACAAAAATTTAGACTTTAATCGCAATATCGAGAGGTACTTTTCAGAGACTTTTGTCGAATATTAAGAATAAACTATCACAATATTATCTATATTTTTTGAAAATGATTATTAATTTTATAAGTAATTTATCAAATTCTAAGAAAAATCATTTTTCACATACAGTCAAAGCTGATAACTCCACATAGAAAATATAAATAGACCAAAGTCTAGCTGCACTTAACTTCAAGGATGCTGACTAATAATAAGTATGGCACAATATCTAATCGTGAAAATGATTAAAGTAATAATTAATAAAGATAACATTATGCTGATTAAAGTAAACAAAAGATAAAAATGTCACTTTTAGATATTCGCTATAACAAGATAAAAATAATATTGATCAACATCGAATCGATTCAAATATGTATATTCAAATATATATATATATATATATATATATATATATATATATATATATGTGTGGGTGTGTATGAGTCTGTACTGCAATTTCTCAATTATATTATTCACTAAAAAATATTCGAGAGTCAAACTTTGCGCATTAATTACATTACATCACATTGAACGAATTAGAATTTATTTAGCATTTATTCTAAATAATAGACTAATTGACAATATCATTATTTAAGATTCCTTAAGTCTGCATCCAAAAAGTAAAACTTACTAATCTCTTACAAGATGAGATCATTACAAGGAGATACTTTGGTTTTAATATTTTTTGTATTTTTTCAATACAATATTTGAATTGAAAATTTTAATTGCTCAATGTGAATTGATTATTATAAAAATCACATTTGATCGTATTTTAAACTCAAAATCTCAAACAATTCAGGCATATATACATATCATCTTTGGATTATTTTAAAAAAAATATTTACTTTAATGTATCGCAAAATATTTTTAATCTCCAATTACCTTCGTAAAATTGTTTCCCCGTTGAAGAACAAATTCATTTATGATGCACTCTGCTTGATCCGTATGGAATTTTGCTCGTATCAGAATATGTTTTACATTTCCTAAAATATTCATAAATTCGATGTGTGTTATAGTGCTACCATCACTTTTTTGCCAAAACTTTTCTTTTAGAGGTATCGATAGAGTTACATTTTCTCCGTCATGATGAAATGGTCCATATTGAATGGTTTCCCCGTTCATTCCAATGATAAATGCATCAGGACCTGCAAACAGGTAATAAATAGATTAAGATTTTCTTAACCTTTCTCAGTATACAGCCACAAACAAATTAATGATTCTATCCAGTTCAACTTCAACCAATATATATATATATATATATATATATATATATATATATATATATATATGATGATAGTTTTGTCGACGTTGATACATATTTGTAACATTTTTGCAGCCAAATCGTCGAATTAAAAAAAAAAGATTAAATAACAAAATTATTTGTTCCATTAAACGTTTCGACACTTGAGGCGTGTCATCATTCAGTAATCTAAAAAACATAATAAAATAAATACAAAGTTGATAATAAATATAAATATATAAAAATGAGAAAATTATACATACCAAACCAGGAAAAACATAGAAAAAATTAATAATGATGTAAAATTGATTGAATAACAATTCAAAACGATGCTTTCAGAACATATGGTTAACTTTAACCGCACTTGCTCTGTAACTTTGATTAGTGTTCACAATTGCACCGCTATTACTAACATAAAATATAGGAGGGCAATATGTTGCTCCTTCAATTTCTCGTTGTTAATATAATAGTATATTATTATTTTACACAAATTTAGTGTTCAATCAATTTTACATCATTATTATTTTTTTTATTTTTAATGTATATATATATATATATATATATATATATATTATTACTTGTATGAATTTGTATAAGGAAGAGAATATAAAATATTTGTATGTTCCTTAAACCAAAAATCGTGAACTGATTAAAATATTAACTAGAGCATATATATGCATGTCACAGCTAGGGTGTCAGCTAAATTCTATATTTTTAAATTATTAAAAACTACAATATTTGAGACGATTTATATCAGCTTATTCATTCAGGTATACGTTACTTACTCATAAATTTTGTTTGGTTACCGGCCTAAGTTGTATCAACAAAATTATGATAACCGAGCAAGAACTTCAAATCAAATCTTAACAAAATGTCATTACTTACCCGTAATAACTCGTCCACTTGTGTCGCCGCGCATAATGATCCAGGATAGTCGTGCCGTTAAATCACTTCCATAAGATGTTAAAAGATTTCCAAGGTAAACAGCAGGAGCAGTCCAATAGTATGGTTCTAATCCTATGAGTTCTTCATCCACGGCCAGGATGTCACCTGTTTCCTCATCAGATATTGGAACGAATAATGAAGTAACAGCGGTGTCGGTGATCTTCCATCCATCAAGAGACGAAATCTGAACATTATATGATATTGTCCATTATAAATATAATTTTAATTCAATAATAAATTTTCAATCAATGGTTGATTATCTGAACATGAGAGGTCATCCGAAGGTCATTCTATATGTGGATTAATTTATTCTAACCCCGCTCGTTTACAAACGTTTAAGGTTAAATCATACGAAAAGAAACTTCCATTTCTCAGAAAGATAATTCTCAGTTTATTGCTTTTAAAATTTTGTATCAATATGCTTTAATTCATTATACAATGTTACATTTATAAATTCTATCTTATGTGTAGTGCAGTGATAAAATGTTTGATATTAGATCAATAAATTATTTTAAAAATGTTAGTGGCAACACTTTTATTGTCTTAGCGAAAAGAATTCAGAAAAGATACTAAAGCGCACTAAATTATTTTTTTATATGATTAGTGCCTGTATAAAAAAATACAAAGACATTTGGCAAAATGCTATAATGAAATACAGACTAAGGATTTAAGTTAAGAAGTAATATGAAATATTAAATATATGGTTAATCCACTGGATTTTATCCGAATTATAAAAAGCATGTTGAAATAAAGTTAGAAACAATTTACGAAAAATTTAAATATATAATGAAATAATTATGGTATATAATAACATAATAAACATAATTTTTAAATACTATAGTAATAAAATATTACATTATTAAAAATTTTAATTTAAATAAAATAAATAGAGTTGGATAATTAAAATATGAAAGTAAGATGTTTTATATAAACAGTCATATAAAGTTATATATTTTTATATTTGATTAATTAATTACTATAGATAGAACACTACGTGTATTAAATCTAAATTATTAAAATGTATAATGATTATTGCCTCACAATCAGACAGGTCGGTTTATAAGAAATTTTTAATCAGTTATCAACGTTATTTACCTGTCAGGGTGCGATAATTATTATTACTCTATATTATATAAACAAGATAATGATAAAATAGAGTACATTTGATAAAATACATAGTTAAATGTTTTTCGCCGAAGTCCTCTTGCCATAAATGATATTTGTTGTGAGACTAGAGAGGTAAAATTGTCACTTTTTCAATAGTATTAATTTTCGAATGCGAATGCAAATGTTTCAATTTTATTTTTTTTATTTCGACTCTATTCACACACATACCTCATATTGATGATATCTCATTATATATATATATATATATATATATATATATATATATATATATAAACAATATGAGATGTTAATAAGTGAATATACCTATTAAAACTATATAATTATATATAAACTATATATATATATAATTTCCAAAAGAAAACAGAAATAAGCAAACTCTGTTTGATTTTACTTTTATTACAAATGAGTTTACTTTTATTACAGTTATTAAAATTGACAAATTTTCTATTCATCATTCTATAACCCCATCATCAACATGTTGGTAGCGTTTAGCGCTGTTTCGCTTCATGCTCTACTTTGATGGTTTACAGATTATTATATATATATATATTATATATATATATATATATATATTATATATATATATATATATATATATGCAACAGGACCAGGGAAACACAAACACGGAAACGGACAGGAAAAGACGATCAGAAGAAATTAATCCTGAATTTCTATAGGTCTACAAGTTAGTGAAACATTACGTTAAGATTTTTATTTATTTTTTTCAAATATTGTGTTTCTTATAGCCATTGTATGTGCACACATATAAATATAAAAATGAATGATAAAAACGAAACGACGAGTATCGACGAACTATCACAGAGATGGATGAAACTAATTGTAAGATAAACTAGTTGGTTTGGTATTTAGCCTTGAGGCAAGTTACATGAACTTCCCGATATGTTTAAATAATTGACTTAATCAATAAAAAATAAATTAATTTATGAGTGATTAAAAGTATTTCGAGTGGATTTATTACACATAATTGAAATCGAACGAACACTTTGACTCGGAGTATTTTCCAAAAGCAAATTTTCGAAAATCAACAATTTTTATAATTGAACCAGTTTCCATAGAACATTTATGGCATTGTATGTTCATTAAAACCAAGTACTCTATCATTATACAAAATAAATAGTCTAATTTTAATTTTAACAAATGTCAAAAGAACTACTCATTTTCTCAAACTCTGATGATTTTTTAAAATCGAACTATTTGTCGTAAGGCCGTAATATTTCAGTAAGTTCTATAAGACCATGGTATATATCGCTAAAAAAAATCCATAAAAATCGGCTTAAATTTTTTTTTTCAACAGTTAATTACAAGAAAACGGCTCGGTAGATTTTCACCTAAAATTAATCAGTACCATTCCCAACTAATATCTTTCGAACAGTTTTTGATTTTTTAAAATCGGTTCGGTAGGATAAGCTTAAATGTGGACGAAAAGTTTAACACTTTTTTTCAAATTGCGAAGAAACGGCTTGGCAGATCGTCCTCACCGAAATACATCAAATGGCTTTTAAATTTCTAAAATCGGTTCAGGCGTTTTTGAGAAAACGTCGATCAAAGGTCTAATTTTGACAAATGCCAAAAAAAACGATACCAATTTTTGCAATCTTTGACGAATTTTTAAAGCTGAACCAGTTGTCGTAGGGCCGTAATATTTTAGTATGATCTAGAAGACTATGGTATCTACCGTCAAAAAATTAATTATAAAAATCGTCGAAATTTTTTTTAAAAAAAACTTTATTACTAGAAAACGGCCCGGCCGATCTCTACCAAAAACTAATCAGCACGATTTCCAACCAATATCTTTCGAACGGTTTTTGAATTTTCAAAATCGATTCAGAATTGCGGGCTAAAACGTAGAAGAAAATTTTTTCACTTTTCTGCGATTTATAAAGAGTTATAAAAGGTATAAAAGGCTTGGCCGATCGTCGCACAAAACTGACAAACAATAGTTCTCGTCGAGATACATCGAATGGCTTTTAAATTTTTGAAATCGGCCCTACCGTTTTCGAGAAAACGTCGATTTACGGCAAAAAATCTGTTCACACACACACACACACATACTTTTTCCAAATTTGGTCTCATTCGATTCAGAATGGCTTGAAACGTCGAGAAAACATAAAATTAGCGATTCGGATTTTTTGATGAAAACATAAACTTCTCCTTCGGGAAGTTAATAATGATAATAAATTAAATGTTCAAATCGCAAATTATATATATATATATATATATATATATATTAATTCGAAATCAGAATCGATTGGAATCGGCACTACACTACAATACGGGGAATACATTTGCCGCGTATGAGCTTTCGGTAATATCCTGATAACAACAAAATGGCATTATTTAATCTCTAAGCTTTACGGTGAATCATTTCAACGTTTCCTCTGCTCGATTCAGTTTGTTCTTAATGTGAATAAAGTTTAATTATACTTTGAATGTTTAGGTGGCTCCAAAAATTGAAGTGCTAATAATAAATATTAACACGAAGTACAGAATACGCACTGAATATCAAATCAACTGTTTTAGAAAAGATTTCAGATCTGTGTTCGATAAGGTATTTACTATAATACAATGCAATAATACAAACAAATACTTAACATAATTAGATTTTTACTATATATTTAGTTTATGAATATATCTACCTTCCATAAAATTTTATACTAATATTAATTACATAATTCATATTTTGTAGGTAATTTAATACTAGAAGAAAATGTCTGGTTTACAGTCTTTTATGGAAAGAAATCCTGCAATTTATTATAAAGTAAATATAGCACCTGAAATTGAAAACTGCCGAAGAGCTACCGAAAGGAGACCACTCATAGTGATCGATGGAAGTTGCTCTAGGCAAATATTTGGAGAGACTGACCAAAAAAAATTTTTGACAGGAGGTCAGTACAAATTGTATAAGAAAAAAGCTGATGAATTCATAGAATTTTTGCAAAGGTTTGATGTGGAATTAGTTGCATTTTTTGATGGATGCAATATAGATGATATGCAGGATAGATGGATAGCTCGAAAAAGGTCTGATATCACAGCTGTTTATGAAGTCTTGGATACTATAGACAATAATGGTTTGGAATCTGTTAATGAATATAATATAAAGCCAGCTTGTAACATCGGTGAGGTCATAATGTGTAGCTTCCTAAATAGATGTAATGTTATTAGATCCACATTTGAAGAATGTGACTCAGAAATCATAACATATGCAAAAGAAAATCAGGCTCTGGCAGTATTTTCACAGGATGTTGATTTTGCAGTTGCACAAGCTGATTTTGCATACTGGTCTTATAAAGACCTGAACTATGAAGAGCAAAGTACATATGTTTATGATGGCAGACAGTTAGCTAAAGCTTTAAATTTACAAGTAGAACAATTGCCTTTGCTACGAACAATGATTGGTAATTATATCTACTTCATTAATTAATATTTTAATTAAGAAAAATGTATTATTAAATTTATATATATATATATATATATATATATATAGGTATATATATATATATATATATAAATATATATAAGAATATATTTTGCCTAAGATATATATATATATATATATATATATATATATATATGATTAAATTCTTGGAGGGCGTAAAATCAAGTAAAAAATATAAAGTGGTTTTGAAATTCTTAGAATATCACTTACACATATTAATACATTTTGCAAAAAAATTAGTAATTGGAAACCACTGACGATGACGTAGAATTTTACGTCGAAACGTATGGAAAAATAAAGATGTTTTAAAAAAATCTTTACTTATTTATATTTTTTTCTTGATGTTACGCCCTCCAAGAAATTAATCATACATTTCAACATCAAATTTAAACACTTTCAACATATATATATATATATATATATATATATATATTTGAATAGCTTTCAATTTGATGTTGATATAATATATTTTATTTGAGTTTAAGTCGGGTCACAACGTCGTAACGCCCGACTTTTAAACTCAAATAATATATATATATATATATATATATATATATATATATATATATATGTACATACAGTGGAATCTCGATAATCTG